CATGAGGTGGTGGTAGTTGTTCCAGAGGTGAGTTGGCAGCTGGGAAAACCACTGAATTTGACGGTGAAAACGTATTCTGTTTCTCACACTGAAGAGGATTTAAACCGGGAATTCAGGTTTTTTATTGATGCTCAATGGAAAAGTCATCCTGAAGGAGGGACGCTTCCTCTCCTAAATACTCCAGCCAAAAATTTCTTCGAATTACTGTTTTCTCACTGTAGGAGTCTGTTTAACGACAAGAAATTAGTGGAGTACTTGAAGCAGAGTTCCTTTGATGCTGTGTTTCTGGATCCTTTCGATGTGTGCGGCTTAACTGTTGCCAAGTACTTTTCTCTGCCCTCTGTGATCTTCAGCAGGGTAACATTTTGTCATTACCTTGAAAGTGGTACCCAGTGTCCCAGCCCTCCTTCTTATGTCCCCAGAAGTCTCTTGAAACTCTCAGACACTATGACTTTCAAGGAAAGAGTGTGGAACTTCCTCTCCTACATGGGGGAGCATGCTTTTTGTCATATTTTTTTCAAAAGTGCCACAGAAATTGCCTCTGAAGTTCTCCAGACCCCAGTGACTATGCATGACCTCTACAGCCCAGTGTCCATTTGGTTGTTACGCACAGACTTTACCTTGGAGTTCCCCAGACCTGTGATGCCCAACATGGTCTACATTGGTGGGATCAACTGTCACCGGGGAAAGCCACTTTCCAAGGTACATCATCTTTCCTTTAGCACATGAAGAGGTTGGCTTTGGATGATGAAGTTACTCCTTACTGAGCAGTGGTTTGTCATTTACTTTTTTCTTTCTTAGTTATTTTGATTTAATTCTTTTGACCATTCTCACTTAATTGTACAGTCCTGTAGCTGATAAACATCTTGCTTGTGGATGTGTATGTACCACTGACTTGTTTATAATCACCAACCTGCACTGTTTTAGGCAGAAGAGTGAGAGGCACAGTAAGAAATGAAGCTTCCCTTTGCTCATTCCTGTACTCTGTCTGTTTCTGTGTAGCTGCTTCAGTCTCTGGATCTGTTTCCTCAGCCAGTTGGGCTGTTTGCATTTCCTCCGTGTAAAATTACACACTTAGGTCTTTAACGAAAGTTAGCAATTACCCTGTCTCCATTTGGGGATATTAGACTCAGACATGCACCATATATGTGGTGCATGGTTTTTAGGGTTTTTTGTTATTGTTATTTGTTTGTTTGTTGTTGATTCTTTTTTGGCTGTTTTTTTTTTAATCTATATGGCTTTTATTTGTGGGAATCCAAAATGGTTAACATTCCACTTTGCTTTGGATGACAACTTTTTAAAAAATATTTTAGATTTCAACATGTTTTGTTTTTTCTGAATCTCAAATATCTGAATGTTTTCATCACTTACATATGGATGTTTTAAATTCCTGTAATGGATATTATATTTTTAGATCACTTTTTTATATTACAAAACAAAATAGAATTACATCATGACTTTCCTCCTATCCTCTCTCCAACACTAACCATACTTTCTCACTTTCAAATTGATAGTGTCTCTCTCTCCTTTTTTTTTTTTTGCATTTATTGTTACATATGTGTATATGTTTCACAAAAATGCAGATATAGCCTCTGAGTGTTTTTTTGTTGTTTGTGTGTATTTGTTATCAGGGCTGACCACTTTGTATTAGACAGTCAATAAAGGATTCATGCCTGGGAGAGGCTAACTCTCCCTGTAGCCTGTAGTTCTTTGACTAGGGTTGAAACCCTGTGGAGTTCTTCTGCTTGCACAATGGCAAACCCATTGATGGTGCCATTGTTCTGGTTTTATTTATGCAGAGAGGATTTCACCACAGACTTCCTGGTATTCTCACTCTTGCAGTTTTTGTGGGCCCTCTTTCACAATGTGTAGGAGCTATGATGTATATGTACCCATCCGGAAGAGTTTTTTCACTGTCTGTGGTAAGCCTGTGTGTGGTGTCAGGAAGGGAAGAAAAAAAACTGTGCTAAATATTTTCCCTGTCCCAATGCCTTGGAAGCAGAGGCAGCATGTCCCTGAGCAAAAGGTCTGCTTGTCTTAAGATTTTTTTTCCCCACTTTGCTTTCAGGCCAGTTTTAGAAATGCAAGGTTTGTTGTTGTTGCTGTTATTGTTGTTGTTTGTTTGTTTGTTTGGTTGGATTTTTTTTGTTCACTTTCTGCTACTTTTGGAATCCTTGGTGTCTCATGTTTCTTTACAATTGTTTGTAAATTGCCCTATGGTATATTGCCCATCTCTGTCCAGTGCTAACAGCTTTTCTTATCATGTAAATATGCAAGTAAGGATCTCTATGAGGACTGCTCATTTCTTATTTTCCGTATTGGTACCCATTGCCCTGATGGCTTGTGAGTCCATGCCCTCCACAATGGAAGGTTTGATCCTATATTTTCCCCCCGATGAATCAGAGCAGCAAAAACCCAAGTCTGGATTCCCTTGGTCCATGCTTCTCCCACATCTCCTGAAGAGTTTCCAGTCTCTCTGTCTCTCTGTCTCTCTGTCTCTCTGTCTGTCTCTCTCTCTCTCTCTCTGTATGTGTGTGCGCGTGCGCGTGTGCACGTGCGCGTCTGCTGCTGGCCTCTGGCTGATGCTAGTGCCCATAGATGTCTATCACTGATTTACCATGCGGAGAAACTCAGCCGCAGAGGGCATGAGGTGGTGGTAGTCATGCCAGTGGTGAGTTGACAACTGGTGCGATCTCTAAATTTTATTGTAAAGTCTTATTCAATGTCTCACACTCTAGAGGATCTGGGCCAGAAATTGAAGGTTGTTATGGACAGGGAAAGACATAGGAAAATAATAACTTTCTCTATTAATGAGTTCATCAAATGGTGTTTTTGAATTTTTCTTCCCAGGGAAGGAATTTGTTTAGTGACAACATGCTAGTGAGTACTTGAAGCAGAGTTAATTGGTGCTGTTTCTCCTGATCCTTTCACTGTGTATGGCTTGACTCACCTGAGTCACTTTTCACCCTCATCCATGGACTTTAACAGAGAACTCTTATGCCACCGTCTGAAAGAGGGTGCGCAATGATTTTGCTCTGTTTGTTACATTCACAGAGCCCTTTGGGGATTCACAGATCCCATGACTTTCAAAGAATGAGTGGGGAACCATCTCTGCTACACGTGGGAATGTGCATTTTGCCCTTGGTTTTTCCATACTGCCCTAGAAATTGCCTCTGAAGTAACAGATACCTGTCATGGTGCCTGGCCTTTTCAGTCAAGTGTCTGTTCGGGTGTTACACACTGATTTAGTGTTGGAGTTCCCCAGACCTCTGATGCCCAACGTAGTCTTCATTGGTGGTGTCAACTGCCATCAGGGAAAGCCACTACCTAAGCTATAGGACCTCTCCTTCCTGGAGAATGATCTAGATTGATATGGCTCCCTCCTGAGTCCTTGCCTAGTAGGTGTGAGCTTTGAGTTTAATTCCAGTAACCCTACTGTATGGCTAGTTTTATGTCAATTTGACATAAGCTAGGATCACTTTAAAAAGGGACACTCAATTGAGAAAAATCCCTGCAAAAGATTTGCTTGCAGGCAATCTGTGATGCATTTTCTTAATTAGTCCTTGATTTAGGAGGCCCAAAATGTGGGTGCATCTCTAAATAGGTTGTCCTGGGATGGAGTGTATAAGAAACAGGCTGAGCCATAAGGAGGCACAGTAAGCAGCATTCCTCTATGGTCTCTGCTTCAGTTCCTGCCTTCATGTTCCTGCCCTGCCTTCCCTTAGCAATGGACTTTAAGCTGTAAGACAAAATGAAGACTTTTCTCCCCAAGTTGCTTTTGGTCATTGTCTTAGATAGGGTTTCCATTGATGTGAAGAGACAGCATGACTGCAGCAATGCTTATAAACGAAAACACCGAATTTGGGGCTGGCTTACCGTTTCAGAGATTTAGTACATTATTGTCATGGTGGAAAGCATGGCGGCATGCAGGCAGACATAGTGCTAGAGAAGGACCTGAGAGCTCTACATCCTGATCCACAGGCAGCAGAAGGAGACTGTGAGCCACACTGGGCATTGTTTGAGCATACAGAACTTCAAAGCCTGCCTCCATAGTCACACACCTACACCTACCAGGCCACACCTCCTAATCGTGCCACTCTCTCTGGTCAAGCATTCAAACACATGAGTCTGTGGATCCACACCTATTAAAACCACCACAGTCAGGGGGTTTTTCAGTACAGCAATAGAAATCTTAACTAAAGAATCCATGAATTGGGCTCTGGACATTGAGAAAGAGGAAAGTTTGATTTCAATGGCTCTTTTCGTTTGCGTTCACGGCAGTTTGGATTTCTGGTTCACTGAGTTACTTTGTGACTTTTTTTTTTTATTGTAGGCCTGAGGATTTTTATAAATCTGTCCTCACTGATACAGTCACCCATTATCTCTCAGCTGCTTTCTTATTACTGTTCTGAAAAAGTAATAGGAAAACCACAATAAGGGATGAGAGTTTCCTTGCTGTGAATCCTGAGCTATTCCTTATGGGAGTATAATTTTAGCACAAGTGTTACATGCATACACTTGTCTAATGTAAAAAAAAAATTATTGCACCTGAAATTAATGTAGGATCCCATGGCAGGCTTGGATAATCTTGATTTTTCCTTTTTTGATTTTCTAGTAAGCCTTAGGCACTTCCTGACATTCCCCATTTAAATGATTGCATGAATGTTCCTATTTTGGTGACAGCAAAGATCTGTTTAACCAGCAATTATGGAGAGATATTTCTCAACTTTTGCTTTCTAAAACCAGGCTGTGCTATGTACTCTTAAATGCTTTCCCTACAGTCAATATTTCCACACACTGCCTCATCCTCGCAAGCCAGTGTTCCATGGAGTAAGGTCAGTGGGTTGGGTAATATACACAGCTCACATATTTTAAAGTGTTTGAGAAACAAATTTCAAATCTTGACACTAACATAAATAGGTCATGGGAGTTTTGGTCTTTTCATATCCTTGCCAAACATTGAGATTGTCCATATCTTAAAATATGTGGGTTTTCTGGAGAAACCTCCTGTTCAGTGGCATCTGATTTTACTGCTTGTGTTTCTGGGCATGTGAATCACTGTTGTCTTCTGTAGTTTAGTGAGTTACATATGCACATTCTACAGCCAGGGCACAGTGATTTAATCATGAACTCTGTAAGCTTCTTGAGCATAGGCATCCCAACACCTCATGTCTTTGTATGGCCCACAGCATTCCTCTGCTCCTGGCTCTTCATCTGTCCCCATCAGGAATTGTCATTTTGCAAGAATCAAATCAATGAAATGTATTTTTGGTAACATTTATATTTTAGTTGTTAAAATTTTGTTACAAGCCACACACACACATTTTCTCCATGCTACAGTTAAATGTTTAATTCTTCCATGGTCAACAACTTTATTTATTCATTTTTTTGGTAAGAGATTTTCAAAGGATATAGCATAAAGGATACATTGTGTGTGACTTCTCCAAGGAGAGCCTTAAAAATCCCGAACTCCTTGTGTCTGCTAATTTCTGTACCTTGTCCCACTGGCTCGTCCACGAGTGTGTTCTCAGACCTTATCCTGATTGAGCAGCTTTGGAGTGGATTAGTGTCCAGAAGACATTCTTCCCAGTCCAACTCCCAAATTTCAGAGTTTTCTTGGAGAACTCCAATATGCGCTCTCTTTCCTAAAATTTAAATGGTTTTGTTTGATTCTAAAAACCAACCAACCAACCAACCAATCAACCAACCAAACAGAACCTGAGCACACTACTGGACCCTGTTAATATCTCATTAAATGTATTTTTCTCTCATTTGAGAAACATTAGTAGGATTTTCCTTGACATCTTCCTATTTAGAATCAATCTGCCTTTTTGCTGCTTCAGACCTTGCTTTAAATCTGTTGATAAATGTTTGTCAACATACATTATGTACATATGTTTTTATTACAATTTCTTCCCTGGTATTTTATTGGCCTGGGAGAAATTGTAGTACAAATTGTGGATTTTCCTTTTCTGGTTTAAGTGGAGACTGGTACAGCACTACTCTGCTTTTGCTTGCACATCTTGTATATAGCCACACTCGTGACCTTTCATTAGGTTTAGAAAAGGTTGGGTTTACAGTGTTATACTCACAGAGTTTTCTCTCCTGAAATTATCCTCTTGCTAGAACACATAACTCTAAAACATTGTAGAATAATATTGTGGGTTCAGGGTCATTTAAAGTGTGATCCAATCACTTGCAAGTACAAAAGTCTTCATAACACTTAAGGTAACATTCTTGTTGAGTACATCATACCTAATCTCTGGTGTCTTATCTCAGTGAATAGTTTGGCTAGGGATGGGTTGTGCTTTGCTGACTATGGTTCTGGCAACTTACAAGGTCCAGCAGATCTTGTAACTGGGCCACATTTTCTCACAAATTGGCATATTTTCCTGTGGAAAAGGGACTTCTTACACAAAGTGAACTAATGCTCCCTCTACAAGGTAGAGGATGACAGATTTGTCTGTGTCTAAGTGAGGAATGGGGGCAGGAGGGAAGGCTCAGGGGTAAGTGCTGTTCTAGAGGATCTGGTGCAACTCTCTGTACACACA